CAAACTTGCTGAGGGTGCACTCACCACTCTTGGCTTTGTTCTCCTCGTTGCGGTTGATGAGGAGGAAGCGGGGGCTCTCAGGGGCAAAGGGCAGGATGACGCATTGCAGCAGGGCAGGGACGAAGATGAACCCCAGGAGCAGCGGCCAGAGCGAATCGTTTCCCATGATCAAGTCCAAACCAAACACCTGGGGACAAGAAAGGTTGAGCCACCCCCAGCTCTGGTGGGACCCAACTCCACCGCTCGTGCGCGGGCTGGACACCCGGAGGGACATGGACAGCTGTGTTGCTTCCAACAGACATCATATCCCAGTGCTGTCCATCCCAAACCTTCCCGTCTCACAGCATTCCCGCTCCTCCGGAGCTCCAGGTCCATCCCCCCAGCCCCACCTGAATGGCAGCGAAGATCCGCACCACGGGCGAAGCTCTGTGCTGCTGCCCTAAACCCCGCCGACCCCATCAGCAGCAGAGAAGGGGGAACCCCATCGCAGCCAGCTCCTCGGCACTTACTTGCGCGATGAGGATGCCCAGGACGATGCCGAGCTGGTGGAAGGTCCCCAGCGCGCCGCGCAGCGCAGTGGGCGACACCTCGCCCACGTACATGGGCACGAAGCCGGTGGTGAGGCCGGAGTAGAGGCCGATGATGAAGCGGCCAAGGATGAGCATCTCGAAGGAGAAAGCCATCTTGGAGAAGCCCATGAGGACGGCGGACACGAAGGCAAGGACGTTGGACATCAGCATGGAGTTGCGCCTGGGGAGGGGAGGCAGGAGGGCGGTGAGGGCCGGGGGCTCAGGGAACCCAAACTTCACGTCTCGGCAGGAGGGAGGTGCCCAAAGCCACCCCCCTGGGACTCCGGGGTCGGTGAGGCCACGCAGCCCCCATTCCATCGAGGGCCACCGCACTCCGTGCTCACCGTCCAAAGCGATTGACGAAGAGCCCCACGGAAAAGGATCCGATCATGCCTCCAACAGAGAAGATGGCAACGGAGAGGGACCAGAGAGTGGTAAGGGTGGCGGGGCTGATAGGCTCATCGTATCGGTACAGCCAGGTACGGTTGTAGAAGTCCTCAATCACCTGCAAAGGGGGGTTGGGGGAGGGGAAGAAACAAAGCCAGGGGTTAAAACTGCCCCCATTTCATCCGAGCCACTGGTGTTATGAACTGCCGGGCCTCAGCCCAGCCACCTCCAGACCCTTGGTCGGCAGCGCGGCTCACAAGACAGTGCGTCACGGGGCCGGGAGCTGCCCCGCCGGCGGCTCGGCTCCAACCCAAGGGAGGAAACCTGATGGGATGCACTGGGGAAATGCAGCCAGACGGGTTCTGGTCACACCCTGCCGAGGCTTGGCATTACCAAAACACCTCTTTCACCGCCGTGGAGAGGTCACGCTCCTTCCCGGGGCGCGGGAGGTGCGGAGGGATGCCTCCATCCCCAGAGGAGAAGCAACAGGAAGGGGAGCAGGTAGAGGCGCTGGAGGAAGGCAACAGGGTCAGCTGATCATTCCCAAACCCTCAGACACTGCCTTGAATTCCATTTTTAGGGGTTTTTTTTCCCTGCAATACTTCCACAACGCAATTATTTCCGCTAAAATTCCACGACGCTAACGCCCAAGGCGGGCGCTGGCTGTTCACGACCGTCTTTGCACAACACCCTTTTTCATACATTTTATACATTTCTCCACATATTTTTTTAAGCCAGCTTAGTAAATAAATACTTGAAGAAGCTGGGGGTCACCACCACCCAACCCAAAAAGCCAAGGGCGCAGTACCACCAGCCATGGTGGGAAGGGGCAGAGGTTTCGTGCCAACAGGGGAAGCTGCCACTGGGCACCAAAGACCTCGCTGCTCCCAGGGGCTTTGCACATGCTCAGCTCCCTGGGAAGCATTTGCACGATGGCACTTCTTTTCCTAGATTCCCTACTTTCCTGACAGCCTCCAGCTCGCTCCCCTCGGAGCTGGAATAAGAAGTAATCTAAATGATGGCGGATGCCGCAGCACTCGGCTGAGCTACGCTGAGCCCTGCTCCGGCTTATCAAAAATGTAACACCCAAACCCCGCTCCAGGCCCCCTTTCCTCCTGGAAAAAAAGGATGGAGGAAAAAACCCACCAGGAGCTGGTTGTTGGGAGAGGAGGAGATGAAAAATCACAAGTTTCAATTGAGAAGCATGACAAAAAATAATCGCATTTCCCAAAAACTGGGGGTTTTCTCCCTCTCTCGCCCTCACTTCATCTCAGCCGAGTGCGTTCTGCCAGCCCTCGCCCAGTTCCGGGCCGTCCCCCCATGCACTGCGTCTGCAAACAGGGGGCTGCCGTCCCGGCGGCGGGGAGGACGGCATCAGGGCCACGCAGCC